AATATTATGTTAAGTGATAGACACTACTTAATTACTATAGACATTGAGTAAATAAATAGCAACTTACTTTAAAACTCTCTTTTTAAATGAAATATTAGACTGGAGTATGATTTRTAAGAATGGTTTTCAGATTGGATGCAACCCAACTACTCAACAGACTTATAATCACTACTGGACAAATGTTGATGGTAATTGAAGATTACATCATTATCACACCAACAAATTCAGACAAATATATGTAAACCATGGACAATATTGGACACAACAATTTGTACTTACAGTTAACTTGTAATGTGACATTGATGCTTTCTCTCCCAATAGAATTGATGGCAGTACATGTGTACATCCCAGCATCATCTAAGGTAGCATTACTGATAACAATGGTACTATTGATTGAACTGTGCAGCTGTTTGCCTTTAAAGCTCCAAACATAATCAGGCTGCGGGTTTCCAGTGGCATTACATGTGATGTTGATTGGTTGTCCTTTATTGGCATACAAGACACCACCTTGTGCATTGATAACTGTGAGCTGGTCTGGTTTGTCTATTAATGATTATATTAACTTTAAATCAAACATCTTTCATTTAAAAACAAATATATAAAAACAATAAAATACAGTCAATAGTAACAAGAATGCAATGAATAATTTATAATAATGAATCAACATTTATCAGATTTAGAATGTGATCTTAAATTAATAATATCTCCCTTTAATTTTTTTTCAGCTGGGAAATGCAATATTTCTTAGTAGAGCGATTTTGCATAACACATTTTATAAAGAAATGAGACAAACAAGCATGCTAACTAGTCTGTCACAGACTAGTTTTTGATCCCATGAGGCATAAAAGGGATCATTGATGTAACCCCAAACGTAACCCGCATTTTGCTAAGAGCGTGCTCAGATAATAGTTCTAGCTTAAAACTGTGCAAATTGGTTCACTTCCCTCTCTCAAGCAATAGTTTATTCTAGAAACGCACTGTTTACACTCTGAACGATAACTCCAGGCAATAACATACACAATAGGTGTAGAACCCAGCCCCACGCTCGGATATGAAAGCTGGCAATTAGTCAATATTTACTTACAATACACTATAAGTGTTTTGGAACATTTCTTGTTTCCAAAAGCATTTCTAGTAGCACATGTAACAATGGAACCATTTAGACTTCTGGTTGCTACAAAAGTGGTTGTTGGTCCTTGAGATACTTTGTTATTTACAGTCCACGTATAATTTACAGCTGGAATACCAATTGCTGAGCAGTTTAGGGCTACATTATCACCATCGTTGACAGTGTGAATTTTAGGCCCACAGCTAGCATCCATTAGGTCTGTAAATAGATTTAAATTAAAAACAAATTCAGGAAAATAGCATGTTGAAAGAATCATTTTTTTTATAACTTCTGGAAAAAGTTATAAGTGCCCATGTGAGCATAGCTGCTTCAGAATTTTCATTCAATAACATTATCAGGTATGACAACTTGTTGATTGTTGTCATATATATATTTATAAAACTTATTAATAATGTATAAGGTATTGCTCCAATAAGGGTTGACCATTTAATCAGGTGATTGACCTTGTAAATCTGATACAACCACTAGTGGTTGTATCAGATTTACAACACGGTCGTCACCATTGAGACAACCCAACACTACCAAAGGTCTCAGTTTTAGTGTCACATCATAGACTTTCACTAGGTTTTGAAGCAATCAAAGACGGATAACAGAACTCGTTTATGCAAC